TTATGATCATAAAATTTAATCAGGTATTACCAAATTTATTATTTGAAAAGAGAGGGTACCGAAAAAACTTTCCAATACAATAATTATACCTCGGCACATATATTGTTAACTTAAAATAGAAAATAAGTCAATCAATTGTAAATCAAGGGGAATATATTAATAACTAAATTATTACAATCAGCTCCGCTGCTTTAAAACAATTACAGCAAGCCCTACTCTTTTATAGCAAGTAATATAAGAATAAAATTTTTACCTGCACTGAATAGTTTATCCTTAACTTGTCCTGCATATTCATCATAAGTAGGGCCAACTGGAATAACCATAGCTTGCCTTGGGGATAGCCAGAAAGGCCATTTGCCAGCAAATGACTCAGTCAAAACAGCTATACATCTTTCTACTGAACCAAGAATAGCTCTGTGAATCATCACTGGTCTCTTCTTTTCTCCACTATCACTAACGTAAGACAAGTTAAATCTAATAGGTAGCTGGAAATCCAATTGAATGGTTGCACACTGGTGAGATCGTTTTAAAGCATCCTTAACAGTGATATCAATTTTAGGGCCATAGAATGCACCATCTCCTGGATTCATTTTCCATGGTTGACCAAATTTGTCCAAACTATCAGCTAAAGCTTTTTCTGCAGAATCCCATAATTCCGGTTCACCAATAAACTTTTCTGGTCTAGTCGACAAGCAAAGCTCAAAAGTAAATCCAAAAGCAGAATACACAAAACTTACAAAATCTAAGCATTTATGTATTTCATCTCTAATATGTTCTGAAGTACAGAAAATGTGGGCATCATCCTGTTGGAATCTTCTTACTCTAGTAAGACCAGTAAGGGCTCCTGAAAGCTCATTTCTATGAAGCACTCCAAAATCTGCCAAACGAAGAGGAAGTTCCCTCCAGGATCTTACACGATTATCAAACATTAGACAATGACCTGGACAGTTCATAGGCTTCAATGCAAACTTCTCCTTTTCTATATCAAAAGAAAACATATTTTCTTCATAATGACTCCAATGCCCAGAAGTTTGCCATAGTTTCACATTATACATATTGGGAGAAATTACCTCTTCAAAACCTCTCTTTCTGTATTGTTCTTTAATGAAGTTCGTTAGAGTGTTGTAAATATGAGCTCCTTTGGGCTGGAAGAAACATGAACCTGGTGATAATTCATGAAAGAAAAACAATTCTTGTTCTCTTCCAATTTTTCTATGATCTCTTTTTGCTGCTTCTTCTTGTAGATGTTCCCATTCTTTAAGTTTTTTTGGATCTGGAAAACTTATACCATATACCCTTTGAAGAGTTTCGGCATCAGCTTTTCCCTCCCAATAGGTAGAAGAGTTCTTGGTAACTTTAAGTGCTTTGATTTTTCCAGTATGTCTGACATGTGGTCCTCTACACAAGTCTATCAGAGGGCCACATCTGTAAACAGTAGTGGTTGGAGTGTTCACTTTCTCTCTAAGAATTCTTTGCTTGAACTCATTATATTTAAACATTTCTATCAGATCTTCTTTTTTCATTTCAAGTCTTTCAAATGGTTGTTTTTCTTTGACAATGTTTTTCATTAAGCTTTCAACTACAGGAAAATCAGTTTGAGATATACCTTTACTGTCTAAGAACATGTCATAATAATAACCAGAATCAATAGGAGGTCCATAACAAAGACAACCACCATATATTCTCTCGAGAGCTTCTCCAAGTACATGGGCTGATGAATGCCAGAAAACTGCTTGTGCCTCTTCATCATCAAATTTTAACAACTGTAAAGTACAATCTACTTCTAAGGGTCTGTCTAAATCCCACAAGACGTCATTAACCTTTGCAATAACAGTATTATCAGCTAAACCTTGGCTAATTCCTTTAGCAATGTCATATGGTGTGGTTTTCCAGCTTACACCTTCAATTATTTTGCCATCTGGTAACGTAACTTTAATAGGTTCTTCCGTTTTCTTTGCTAATTCAGCTTCATACTGAGCTTTTAGTTTATCCCATATTGCTAATCTGTTATCAATATATTCTGGGCGAGGATTAAGTTCTTTGGCTGCACTTGAATCACCCCCATTTTGAGCCGGTTGCTTGCTTTTCTTTGATTTAGATTTTTCATTTTTGCTTTCTGGTTTTTCTTTATTGTCACTCATTTTTTTAACTTCACTAATTTACTTATCTGTTCAACTGCACTATCAGTTTTAAAATGCGGTTTTCTGAAAGACACAAGACACATGTACTTATCAGCATAGAATACGAAAATACGTCACTTGAAATGATAAAATTTGTTCAAAGTGTTGCGTCATAATTATGACTATGACATTATGACAATTGTCTTCCAAATTCCAACTATCGACAAAAATCTATCACGGACGGACAACCAGATTGACACAAGGTCTGTTCCTTTGTTTTCTGGTGTAACACTAGATTCAAAAAAGTGTACAAGTGTTACACTAAGTCGTTCATTTGCAAGGTGTAGTGCTGCACCAATCTGTTCCATTAAAAAGTGTGATAATGGTGCCAATAAATCTAGACCTGCTTCTGAGAACTAGCGTCTAAACACATACCAACAAATCAGGCGATTCGGTATCGATATCAAATTCAGATCGATACAATCGAATTGAATTTAGTAGCTCGGAGTGCTGGTTATGTCATCGGGAGAACAATAACATAACCATAACCTAAATTATTAGCATATTATTAGAAAATGGTAAGTATGACTTAAATAAATGGAAGAATTAAAATTATTTAAATTAGTTTGCAACACGTAGATTACCTTATGTGTTTTAGTTAAAAATGCATTGCCTAAAGAAGCAGTGGAATTTCTCCCAACAGGTATTCAGTTGTCTGTTATAATCTATTTGTAACTCATAAATGTTTTTCAACTTATAGGATTTTAGATTGGGGTAGAATCAAAACAGGAAAACATTTGAAGTAGATTTGTGAACTAATAACTGAAGAACAGGAAAAATGCAAGTGCATATCTTATACATACTTTTAAAAGTTTACAAAGTAAATTTGTATTACAAAAAATTTAAGCCAGAAAATGAAATGTGCATGTTTATGTACCTATTCATTATTGTCAGATTCCAATATTGATTTTATAGCTCTTATTGTCATTATAGTCCAATTACTATTACTAAATTATAATTTTGTTATGAGAAGTACAAGTTTGAATAAGTATAAAACAGCATTCTTAAATATTTTTGTTACTTTAAATCGTTAAATATTGTAAAATATTTGACAGCACTTTCACACTGTTTAGGACCTTGTATTATTAGTGCTATGGTCAACCCTTACTATGACATTTATGTATGTATGAATTTATTTTTATATGGATTTAATATAAGAAAACAAAATCAAATAATCCAGAGCTTTAGATAAAAAGTCTTTAACAGTCATATTATCACTATGAGGTTACATGAGAGAAATTTTACAGTTCAGAATGATATCGTCATTCGTAAAGCAACAATATAGCACATGGGAAATTTTTTGTAACATTGATAAAAAAAAAGAACCAAAAAAAACAACTTTATAAATAAAAAAATTTATTAAAAGTCTGTTTTCCAATAAAACTATAAAATCAAATGAATATATCAGGCCATATATTTGAAGAACTTGAAATTCCATTTATGAAATGGAATATTGATGCATCATATTTGATAGAAACAGAATATGGTTAAGATAACTGGTTCAAATGGGTTTTAATAAAGATAAAATAATATATATTTATCAAGTACATCAGTCAAGAAATATAACAGATCTACAGTGTGTCACTAGGCACAATAACATTGTGAAAAAAGAAGCCAGTGATCAGAAAATACTTTAGTGTTGATGCTAAAAAAAAAGCATAGGACACAGTTTCTCTAATAAAACTCAAATTGGTCTTGTTCTTTCATACCTGGGCATAAATTTGTTCAATAAGGGTATTTTTGTGGTAAATAGTATTTTACATCACAAAACATTTGAACAACAAAAGGATAATCAATCAACACTTAAAACAAATTTATTTATTAATTTTTATAAAATAAAATGATAGCGAGGTCATATACGCCAGCTTTTAAGAGAAAACAAAAAGTGTACAAAACAACAGAAATGTATATCTGCACCAACTTCTAGCATGATTTGATATCATCCAGTTTTGATTTTAACTTTAACAAAACAAACACAAGTATTTGACTTTGACACTTGACAAACACACTAGGAAATACGATTCGATTATCATATTTTCCGAGTTGATCAAAAACTCTTATTTGAATGAATCGATATCGATCTGCCTGATTTGTTGTATGCTGTCTAGACGTCTGATCTTCTGAGAGGTGACTATGCATGTCACATGTATCATCCAACCAAATTTACCAAAAGTACCTACAAATTTTAGATTCATTTAATTTTTTAATTTTATTGTATCTTTAATCATTGCATTTTATCATTTTTTAAAGATTATTTGCTAATTGTAATAAAGTTTATTTAAATTTAAGAAGGAAAATCGAAACTAGAAGAAAACAAAACAAAAAAATCTATGTGATATCATCATCATTCTGGCTTTACATCCCTACGTGGATACTAGCCTCCTCAAGAATTTCTCTCCAATTCAGTCGTCCGTCGTCCATGTTTCATGTTTCTCTTTTTATTATATTGGTAAATACCTAAATATAAGATGACATCTATATTATCTTTATTTCTCTGATTGATTGCACTTATGAAATAAAATATTCAGTAGACACTCTTGTGCTCTTTCCTTGTCTAAGGAATGAACCTTTAGAACACTATTCTGTGACATGATCATCGAGCATTATTGCTCGATGGACATGATACTTATAGTACCATGATTCTGTGGTAATATCACACAACTCAGAATACCCAACCCACGTTGGGTTGGTGTGTTCTGTGCAGAGATTTACATATCTCTGGTTCTGTGGTAATATCACCGAACGACGTAATATTGCGCATAGGATTATTTGTCAACAAGCTTATGCGCAGAAATAGGAGATGATGATAAATTTATTTCTGACTTTCTGACGGAGTTGTCAAAATCAGAGGGTTTAGAAAAAGAAATTACTTTGTTAAAACGCCCTTTAATCCCAGTGCGGTAGTCATGTTTCCGTTTTATTTATTATTTGGTTAAAGTAAAATGGTGAATCCAATTTGAAATGTTAAATAAAAATCATCACAAGTAGGATCATTAACAGTGTTCAATTACCAAAACAATGAATTTGGAAGATTCAGGGGGAAATCTGGTTCTTGGACCAGAAACTGTTTATGGGACTCACGAGGACTCTCATGTAGTCATGTCTGAAAAGGTACAGTCGCTGGCTGGCAGTATCTATCAAGAATTCGAAAGGATGATAGCTAGATATGACGAAGATGTAGTCAAAACTTTAATGCCCCTTTTGGTAAATGTACTGGAATGTTTAGATGCAGCTTATCAACAAAACCAAGTAAGGCAATAATTTTGTATTATGTTTTATAAGCATCCTATAAATTTGAGTTTAAATTGTGACACTTTCTTTAATAAAGCATATGGGCAATATAGTTAGTTCTTTAAAGAATTAACTCATTACAATAATAATTTAAAATTAATTTATTTTTGTGGCTTCCTGTGATAATTCCTCTTTGGTATCATAACTTAATGTTGTGGTGTTTATTTTTCTATTTTACTTTGATAATGATTATCTTTGACATGTGCATGTGATATGTAGGTGTTTAACCAGAAAGTAAAATATCTGAAGCAATATTAGCATCTTTTAATACTTGGATAAAATTAAATATTTTTAAATGATAAATAATTATATAACCAAAATTATAGGAACATATCTACATTATTTTTAAGTGTGATCAATAACTTACTACCTTTTCCCATTTTACTTTAGTAATTGATTTGTCCTTCCCATAAGTAATTTTTATTTTTAATTTTTTTCTTTACTTTTTTCTCTTTTCATTTCTTACCTTCTTAATCTGTTTTTTTTAGTTTTTATTTTCAAATTCAAATTTACATTTATATATCTAAGACTATTTTTTAAGTTCCAATTACATTGTCTCACTCTTTAGATTCAAAATAAGTTCTTTTAGGCTTGTTGGTGCTAACATGTTATAGTACTTGTGTTCAACACCTACAGATTGTAGTTTCATAAAATTCAGAAATAGATGCAGTTTTTGCAACTATTTGTTTACTGACATCTATATTTTTGTCATTATTACTGCTTATTGGACATATGTCTTATACAATTATTTTTATTTTTTTTATTTTGGATCATTCTGCTAGGGGCAAATATTATATTATATATTTGTAATGTTAATAATAATACTCATTATTATTATATATAATGGAAAGTACCCAGACAGTACCTATTATTCTATCTACTACTGGTATTATTCCCAAAAACCTCTTCTTCTTCTTGTGGTGCCTATCCGTTACAGATGTTGGGTACTAGCTAGGCAATTCTAATTTTATTGACCACAGCTTGAAATAGTCCTGAAGTGGTCAAGGAAAACCATTTTCGTAAGTTCTGGAGCCAAGATATTCTTCTTTTTCCTGGTCCCCTCTTTCCGTAGACCTTTCCCTGTAATATAAGTTGCATAAAACTCTTAGAGAACATAAAACAGCTTGGTCTAAAGGAACATCTCTATAAGACCATTCAGAAAGCGTACTCCCTGTGACATCCAGATGTGTACTCCCTGTGACATCCAGATGTGTATGAAAATTTTTGGGAGATACTCCAGCATACCAAGTCATCTAGAGTCAATAACACAGAAAGAGTTCCACCTGAGCTCAATCCTTTTGATACCCCAGGTATCTGGGATGAGTGAATGTTCCCCTTACAGGACAGTGTGAGCCATATCACTAAATCATGGATAATACTTATTATTATTGTAAGGAAACAAGTTGAATAATGTTACCAAAAATCAAACAAGTAGTAGAAAAGAATAACCTTACCCATATAAAGAAAAAATCAACAAAAGAGGTATACATTTATTCATAAATGAAAATAAATTAAAATTATTATTAATTCTTTTTCTCCTTCAAGTTCCACTCCTATCAGAGATTGGAAATTATTCTGGCAATTATAATTTTGTTGGTTATGTGCCTGAATAGTTCAATTGAACTGCATCCAAACCATTCACAGAGATTAAGTAGCCACGAGATTTTACGTCTTCCTACGCTTCTTCTACCTCTGATTTTATCCTGCATTATATTCCTTAGTATTTCGTATTTTTCACCTCTCATAATGTGCCCCAAGTATTCCAATTTCCTGATTTTTATGGAATTTAAAACTTCGCATTGTTTTCCTAATTGTTCGAGAACTTGTTTGTTTCTTTGCGATCCATCCATGATATTATTAATTATTATAATAAAATTGGCACAAAATTCCGCCACTAAAAATGTTTGATTAAGTTTGACAATTTATAACTTTTTTATTTGTATTCCGATTTTCAAGATTGTTGCATCAGTTTGTAGGTACATGTATTGAAATTGTTTGTTATTATTCTGGTAATAAACAATTTTTGCTTGGATGGCATTATGCAGGGGTGAATGGAAGCATTGTATTTTCTACTAACTTTAAAAAATTCTGTGGGAAAATTTCATGTAAAATGTTTTTCATATTATCTCAGGGAATCCCTAAATTTTTGTTTTTTGAATTATATGAATATCTATTTTCTTGTAAGAGCTGTAATAGAAAAACTGCTTTGAAGTTTTATTTAATGAAAAATATTAAACAGACTAAAATTAATAACACAACAAAATAACAGCAACACAAAACAATTTGATAGCGGGTATATCCATCCCTCACAAGCAATGACTATTCACAATCTGTTTGGTATAGAATGAATAAGATATGTTATCCTTGTCTGGAGAATAGCCCGATATTCTTCTACCATCGCTAACCTTAACTGTACCAAATTTTCTGGAGGCCTAGGATGACAGAGGATTTTCAATTCATCCCATAAATGTTTAATCGGATTGAGATCTGGGCTTCATGCGATCTATTCCAACCTCATCCATATAATAATTTACAATATGGGCAACATGAGGTCTAGCATTATTGTGTATTAATTTAAACTGGTTCGCAAAGAAAGGTGCAAATGGAACTACCCCCACTTCTTCAATGTAGCGACAGGCAGTCATAGCTCCATTTTCAAAGAATACAGGATCAGTATATGCTTCTCTACAAATGCCTGCCCAAATCATAACAGAACCGACATGATATAATATTCTTGCTGATATGGTGCAGTCAGCAAATGCTTCATTTTGACGTCCTTAAACATTCTCCCGACAATCGGGCGACTTCAAACAAATCCTTGATTCGTCGGTGAATAAAACATAACCCCATTGTTGTATAGTCCAGTGGGTATGCAGTGTTGCAAACACCAGTTGCTGCTGTTGAGCTGAGGAAATAGTTATGGTGCTGTCTTCGTGAATGAAGTCCAGTTTCATCCAATCTTCTTCATATCGTTCTTTTACTTACTTTTGCATATCATACAATTTGCAGTTGATTTCTTAGAGACACAGCAGTATCTCTTCGATCTCTCAAGGATGTAACAACAATCTAACGATGATAAAGTGAGCCTTGGCATCTTGCGAATTTTCCAGTCTCCTAGTACCAAGTGAAGAGATTATTCAAGCAGCAGAAAGTAAGACAGGTAAAGCCCAGGTCCAGATAAAGTAACGCCAGAGGCAATAAAACTGATAGTAAGAGAGAAACCCGAATTGATACATAGAGTATTCAACGAACTTTTGAATATGCAAGAATTCCTAGATAAACTGAAGTTGACTAGACCCGTATTATTACTAAAACCCGGAAAGAACCCGGCGAAGTTAACTTATATAGACCACTATGTTTACTAGATTGCATAGGAAAATACTATGAGGGTCTTTTAAATAAACGCCTAGAAGAACTTAAAGTACTGGAATAATTTATTTGAGATAGACAGTATGGTTTTAGAAAAGCCAGATCGGTTACAGATGCGGTGAAGAAGATCTCTCTGACACTTTAAAAAGAATCAGAAAAAGATGGGCCATTGTCGTGATGTTTGATGTGAAGAATTGCTTTAACTCTGCAAATTGGTATCAAATACTAACAAAAGTATAGAAAAAAGAAAGTAGCAGGAGTGTCAGACTACCTAATACATATCACAAGGAAATACCTGACAAACAGATATTTAAATGTGGCATATAATGAAGATATGAAATTATCATCAGGAGTACTGCAAGGGTTCGTTTTGGGACCTACGCTATGGAACATAGTGTACAGCAGAGTATTAGAAATATACTATGGTCAAGACACCTGTGCCATAGCATATGCAGATGATCTCGCAATCCTAATAGAGACTGATATAAATATGGATATTAAAAATAAGATGACAATTTGTTACAGACAAGTCAACAGGGGGATGATATAGAATGACCTAGAGTTGGCTAGTAGCAAAACAGTTATAGTAGTACTATAGGGACCAAGACAGAGACCAAACCTGAGTTTTGATTTAAATGTTAGTATTATAGAGCCGAGAAACTGTGCTAAATATTTGGGCATACACCTTGTTTCTGACTTGAGATACATGAAACACCTGATGTAGTTCAGAAGGCTGAACAGGGAGCCGCTGCTATGATAAAGATTATGCTAAGCAACTCAAATTGTAGAATGCAGAAACCACTAAAGTTCCTGCTATGACCATCCTCTATTAAATCAACAATTCGAGCCACATCTGCTACTCCTAACACCACAATGATAAATAAGTTATTTTCTTGCTGTCACTGTTATTTTGCTGGCATTGTCATTTTTACAAATAAAAATGTATATTGCTATCTCTGTCATTTAATTTTTATCAGCATACCAGGAAAGATATTCATGTTTATAAGTCAATCAGTGCTTTTATGTACATAAAATTGTGCAGCTCTTACATGAAAGGAAATTTTTGGATAATTCAAAAAGCAAAATCTTAGGGATGCCTCCGAGATAATATGAAAGGACTTATGAAACAAAATCAGCTCTTCAATTTTTACACAGAATTATTTAAAATTAGGAGAAAATACATTCAAGCAAAAATTGTTTATTACCAGAATAATAACAAACAATGTCAATACATGTACCTATAAACTGTTGCAAGAATCTTGAAAATCAGAATACAAATAAAAATGTTATACATTGTCAGACTTAATCAAACATCAATCAAAGTGACTCAGTTAAAATGATTTTGAGAAACCAAAATATTTAAAAACATTTTTAGATTTATCATAGTTATTGATGATTATTCTTTTTTTAATTCACTTCAGACACATTACTTGAAATGAGATAAATGAGTAATACACATCCTAATATTTGTTTTAAATATTAATGTATTTTGGTATTATTTGCAATGCCATATTTAAATTAGTCACTGACCTTAAATCTGTTTTAGAGACCAGTAGCTAGAAATCTGTTTATCAAGTTTAATGTTGACA